TAGCATAGAGTTTGTGTTCAAGTCATGTATTCAGGCTTCTTGCTTTCTGGCTAGGAGGCTTTCCCTGTATTTCATGGATTTTCTCCATTAACTTGTTTTCCATCCAATTGGCGACAGATTTTCATGCAAATATTCAAAAATTCACATGAAGAAAATATGCGAATTTTTCCCACCAGTGGTGTTTCCATCAAACAGACTTGTTGCAGATAACTTCCTGTTCCCATCACAGTTGTTTTACTCGCATAAAACCTATGTATGGCAATGTGGTTACTGTCATGTGGTGCTGAACTGCGGGATTGCGAGAGTTCGATTTTGCCGCTGTCCATCTGTCCATCTGTTCATCTGTCCATGCCGCTGTGAATCTCCGACCCCCTCTATTTGCTTGCTTGGACATTCTACAGCTCATTCACAGAAAGACAGGTCTATCTTTCGGTCTCTCTCTCTCTTTCTTCTCTCTGTTAATTGTCATTGTCATGCATAAACAGACTGAAGTGTCAGTAGGCATGGGCTATGCATTATTTCCAGATTAGAGTTTGGAGATAAAGGGAATGGAAGTGGGGGATACTGGTTAGCCTACATGGAAATGGCACTTGGGGATTAATAGTGCTGTAACCATAGAATTACATATTAGAACTCAAAAAGTAATTGAATAGAATACTGTATATGTGGCTGTAACAAGCTTTCTAAGAAGTGAGACCCATGTTGCTATAGTATAATATATTAGATAGGAAATGCTGCTCTCATGTGGTTGTGATTAGCATGACATTTCTGGTTCCTGTCTCACTTAATGTTGACCTTTATACATAGCATTTGATGTCAGTTCTGTTGTATTTATATTATCGAGTTCTGTTGTATTCTATCAGCAACTAATGGTGCGTTTGACTTTGCTCCCTCTCCCACTCCAACACTGCTTGGGTAGGCTATGTCATGCTGTACTGTTTGTCTCAGTGTTGCCACACATCAAAGCTTATCCCTTAGGAGGAATGCCCTTATTTACATGTTGATTTGAGTAGCAAATTATAGCCTTTTGATTAGCCTACATAACTAGAGAAAACAATGCACATAGTGTGTCTGTGTGCTACACATGTGTGTGCTTTATAGCCTACCAATAGGCAGACCCATGTGGACAATTCCTACAACAATGGCTGCAACTCTGATTAACTCGATGGAGGAGACTATGTCAGTAACCATGTTTGCATCCACAGTTTTTGTGAGTAAAGTCATACCGTCTAAAAAGAAGTCACGACAGCTGTAATGGAAACAGGACATTTCGGTAAAATTGTATAAATGCTGGCAGATCATTTGTTCATTCGACATGGTGGGATCATTTTGTGTTGGTAAAGTGTATTATGCGAGAAATGGGTGGAAACGTGTTTATTTTTTAAAAAAATGTTCACCTTTATTTAACCAGGTAAGCCAGTTGAGAACAAGTTCTCATTTACAACTGCGACCTGGCCAAGATAAAGAAAAGCAGTGCGATAAAAACAACAACAACACAGAGTTACATGTGGGATAAACAAAACGTACAGTCAATAACACAATAAAAAATCTATATACGGTGTGTGCAAATGTAGTAAGTTATGGAGGAAGGCAATAAATAGGCCATAGTGCAAAATAATTACAATTTAGTATTAACACTGGAGTGATAGATGTGCAGAAGATGATGTGCAAATAGAGATACTGGGGTGCAAATGAGCAAAATAAATAACAATGTAAATAACAATATGGGGATGAGGTAGTTGGGTGGGCTAATTACAGATGGGCTGTGTACAGGTGCAGTGATCGGTAAACTGCTCTGACAACTGATGCTTAAAGTTAGTGAGGGAGATAAGTGTCTCCAGCTTCAGAGATGTTTGCAGTTCGTTCCAGTCATTTGTAGCAGAGAACTGGAAGGAATGGCAGTCAAAGGAGGTGTTGGCTTTGGGGATGACCAGTGAGATATACCTGCTGGAGCGCATACTACGGGTGGGTGTTGCTATAGTGACCAATGAGCTAAGATAAGGCGGGGATTTGCCTAGAAGTGATTTATAGATGACCTGGAGCCAGTGGGTTTGGCGACTAATATGTAGTGAGGGCCAGCAAACGAGAGCGTACAGGTCACAATGGTGGGTAGTATATGGGGCTTTGGTGACAAAACGGATGGCACTGTGATAGACTACATCCAATTTGCTGAGTAGAGTGTTGGAAGCTATTTTGTAAATTACATCGCCGAAGTCAAGGATCGGTAGGATAGTCCGTTTTACGAGGGCATGTTTAGCAGCATGAGTGAAGGAGGCTTTGTTGCGAAATAGGAAGCAGATTCTAGATTTAACTTTGGATTGGAGATGCTTAATGTGAGTCTGGAAGGAGAGTTTACGGTCTAACCAGAAACCTAGGTATTTGTAGTTGTCCACATATTCTATGTCAGACCCGCCGAGAGTAGTGATTCTAGTCGGGCGGGCGGGTGCAAGCAGCGTTCGATTGAAGAACATGCATTTAGTTTTACTAGCGTTTAAGAGCAGTTGGAGGCCACGGAAGGAGTGTTGTATTGCATTGAAGCTCATTTGGAAGTTTGTTGGGATGACCGCGGCAGCTTTCCAATCTCTGGGGATCTCAGACGATAGGAAAGAGAGGTTGAACAGGCTAGTAATAGGGGTTGCGACAATTTCGGTGGCTAATTTTAGAAAGAAAGGGTCCAGATTGTTTATTCGCAAATATTGATATAATAACCATCATATCAAAGTAAATTTGGAGTCACGCAATGATTTGGTGTGTGGTCCTTCCACTATGACTCGTAAACCATGCAGTTTATTAGGCTACAGATGAAATAAATTATGATGAACTTCACAGGGTGGTGAAAGTACACTGTGATCTTGGTGCATCTTTCCAATAAATATAGAGGGTCTTATTCTGGTGACATGATGATCGATGCTTGACTGCCGTTTGACAAATGAAAAAATTCTCGCTATCCATAATAATAATATAATAATAATATAAAATATCATCATGTACAGTACCGGTCAAAAGTTTTAGAACACCTACTCATTCCAGGGTTTTTCGTTATTTTTTAATATTTTCTACATTGTAGAATAATACTGAAGAAATCAAAACTATGAAATAACACATAAAAGTGTTTAAAAAAAAAGTAACCAAAAAAGTGTTAAATATATTTTATAATTGAGATTATTCAAATAGTCACCCTTTGCCTTGATGACAGCTTTGCACACACTTGGCATTCTCTCAACCAGCTTCACCTGGAATGCTTTTCCAACAGTGTTGAAGGAGTTCCCACATATGTTGAGCACATTTTGGCTGCTTTTCCTTCACTCTGCGATCCGACTCACCCCAAACCATCCCGATTTGTTTAAGGTCGGGGGATTGTGTACGCCAGGTCATCTGATGCAGCACTCCATCACTCTCCTTCTTGGTAAAATAGCCCTTACGCAGCCTGGAGGTGTGTTGGGTCATTGTCCTGTTGAGAAACAAATGATAGTCCCGCTAAGCCCAAACCAGATGGGATGGCGTAGCACTGCAGAATGCTGTGGTAGCCATGCTGGTTAAGTGTGCCTTGAATTCTAAATAAATCACAGACAGAGTCACCAGCAAAGCACCCCCACACCATAACACCTCCTCCTCCATGCTTTACTTTGGGAAATACACTTGCGGAGATCATCCGTTCACCAACACTGCGTCTCACAAAGACACAGCGGTTGGAACCAAAAATCTCAAATTTGGACTCCAGACCAAAGGACACATTTCCACCAGTCTAATGTTCATTGCTCGTGTTTCTTGGCCCAAGCAAGTCTCTTCTTCTTATTGGTGTCCTTTAAAGTGTTTATTTTTTATTTTTAAAGCGATTCAACCATGAAGGCCTGATTCACACAGTCTCCTGTGAACAGTTGATGTTGAGATGTGTCTGTTACTTGAACTTTGTGAAGCGTTTATTTGGGCTTTAATTTCTGAGGCTGGTAACTCTAATGAACTTATCCTCTGCAGCAGATGTAACTCTGGGTCTTCCATTCATGTGGCGGTCCTCATGAGAGCCAGTTTCATCATGGCGCTGGATGGTTTGTGCGACTGCACTTGAAGAAACTTTCAAAGTTCTTGAAATTGTCCGTATTGACTGACCTTCATGTCTTAAAGTAATGATGGACTTTGTTTCTCTTTGCTTATTTGAGCTGTTCTTGCCATAATATGGACTTGGTCTTTCACCAAATAGGGCTATCTTCTGTATAACCCCCCTACCTTGTCACAACACAACTGATTGGCTCAAACGCATTAAGAAGGAAAGAAATTCCACGAATGAACTTTTAAGAATGCACAACTGTTAATTGAAATGCATCCCAGGTGACTACCTCATGAAGCTGGTTGAGAGAATGCCAAGAGTGTGCAAAGCTGTCATCAAGGCAAAGGGTGGCTTTTTGAAGAATCTCAAATAAAATATATCTTGGTTACTACGTGATTCCATATGTGTTATTTCATAGTTTTGATGTCTTCACTATTATTCTACAATGTAGAAAAAAGTAAAAATAAAGAAAAACCCTTGAATGAGTAGGTGTTCTAAAACTTTTGACCGGTAGTGTAGACTATACCCGCACAGCCTACCCCCACTGTATCTGCTATCTGTTGGCTAGAGCCTGCCAAGACCAGAGTAGGCACATTTGTTATTTAACGCAACAGTTTTTGTGACAAAGCTGTAGAGTTTTTTTTGTGGAAACACACCACTGGTGGGAAAATGCGCATATTTTCTAATGCGGATTCTAGAGGAATCCCATGAAAATCGCTCGCCAATTGGATAGAAACCTAGCTAGTGACAGAAAGGGAGAATTATTATTTGTTCTCTTTCTGACGTTGAGGATCTCAGATGTGACACTAGTTAACCCCTGTCCCTGTGTCGCGGAGCACGTGGTCATCTTTGGTCCTGATGCTGTGACCGCTTTCCTAGGCACGCGCCGCGCATTTAGGGGTGTGTTCACCGTGTACTGGGAAGTCTGGATTGGAATTTTCCTCAGCCTGCCATTTAAAAGCCACACGCTAACGGTGGCGCAGCAGGCCGACTGTACGGCAAAATATGTAGGCTAGAAGGACACAGAGGACGGCGCGACTCGGTGTAGGTGGGTTAAATGGGAAATCTGATGGGCAGTTTGCGCTACAAGGAGCCGAGAACTGTGGAGGAATGTGACTCGACATGGGAGTCAGACTCGGAAAGCGACGAGCAGCCGGGTGATGAGGACAGCGGGATATCGGAGTGTGTCAGCCGGTTCGAGACAGGGAGATGCGGCGAACAGGCGGACATGTCCCCGAAGGTAAATAGGCTACCAACAAACTGCCACACACACAGAAACGCAACAACACAACAGCTATCTATAGCAACCACACATAAAAAAAATAGGAAGAAGAGCAGACTGCAATGGGCTAAATTAGAAAATGGAAATAGCACAGCTGCATAGCCGACTCGCTGAAGATGTCAACATCGCAGGCTATAATGTAATTTTTTTGTTTGTTTGGGAAACCAAAATCAGGATTGTATGTAGGCTACTAGCCTAGTTTAGGCCTATGTCCCAAAGTAATTGTCCTCAACGCATATCTTGTTGCCATGTCTAGGCTACGTCCAATATCATTGCAAGATATCCAATTGATGTGGTGGTATGCATTGCCACAAGTGGATTTATTGTATCTAATAGCGCATAATTCTATATCGTTCAGTTCTCACCAAAAGGTTGTACATTGCTGTCTTGTTTTATGTCCTCGGTTCGTGTCCTCAATGTCCTGCGTGAACACGCGGAGTGAGAGTAGGTTAGTGTTGCATGCAAGTGAGACAGTGACCTGATAAAGGTGACCTAATTTTTTTAATAGATAAAATAGAATGGGGTCTAATAGGGGAGCACATCTTCCTTCCTTTGTTTTGGGGCAATGTCACAGTATGCACATTCCCCCAAATATTTGCTGTTTTCAAGTATAGGCCTTTAGGCTTTGTATTTTTTTTCTTATTTTTTTTTCTGAAAAATGAAAAATGGCAACAACCCTACAACTTTGATGGGATGCATCCATGTTCATAAGGATAAAAGAGATAAACAACAATATTTTTTTGTAATGAGTCAATTGCCTTTATAATACCTTGTTATGCCTTTATATGGTGCATTTTCTTCATGTATTCCTGACTGTGAGTGCATTGGAAGCCTCCATAACGTTCAAATTGCTTTCATGGGGAAGAAATTGGTAGATTATTATTCTACCCACACCAAAAATAGATAATTCCAGTTCAGTTACGAACTCACTCAACCCAGACATCTGCTATGTTGTTATGGGTTTGTGTGTCACTCAGCAATTATCTGAGAAGAAACCTTTTAACACCACACCCGCGCTGTTGATATCACTGTTGCTATCTATTTCAGTCAGTGTTCATTCACTATCTTCTTTCCTCTCCCTCTTTCTCTCATAGCTCTCTGACTCTGACTCGAAGTCCAGCACCAAGATGAAGAGGAGTTTTTATGCTGCAAAGGATCTTTACAAATATCGCCACAGCTACCCGGTACGAAACGCACGCACACGCACACACACACACACACACACACACACACACACACACACACACACACACACACACACACACACACACACACTAACTTCATTTTTCCTGACTCTTCCTCCTCCTCCTCTCCCTCCCTAGAACAACAAGGCTCCCCGGCTACCTAATGACTACCGCAACCTCCGCTTCTACCTGAACAAGATCCCTCTAATACCAGACGGTCAGTACACACACACACACACACACACACACACACATACACAGAGACAAATAGCAACACACACCCATCGGACACACAGCAGAGTGATACTGGCTCAGGGCTTAGAGTTTTGATTGGCCTTGGGTCATGTTTGAACAGAGGAGTCCAGAGGATTAAGAGCTGATCTACTGTTTAAACACTAGCCTGCAGACACACAGACACACACACACACACAAACAAACACACATATTTTAAGCTGAACCCAAACAGGGCATGTGTGTTTTCTGTAGGTATCTTCATTGAGGAGATCCTGACCAAATGGAGAGGGAATTATGACAAACTGGAGCACAATCACACCTACATACAGTGGTAAGATGCCCTTCGAGGTACTATGGATGTGTGTGTGTGTGTGTGCGTGTGTGTGTCACGTATCAGACCTGGGTTCAAATACTATTTGAAATCTTTCAAATACTTTGAGCTGTTGCTGCCAGGAGTGCCAGAGTTTTGGGACCAATCAAGCACAGATTAAGTATTTGATATGATTTCAAATAGTATTTATAGAAATGTATCTCACCCTTATTTGCAGGAGCAGAAAGCAGAAAAGAGAACAGCAAAGTACAGTCAATTCTTACTCTGACACAGACCTACAAAACTTAGAGACCAACATAACACCAGGAGAAAAAACATAGTCACACCACTGGGATTCACATATCCTGCCAATCTCACTTACTCCCTGCAGTGCCAACCTTGTTATCTCTCGCTTTCTCTCGTTCTCTCTGTTCTGACAGAGCAGTTCATTAGCATAATATCAATTAGTGGGTGTCTAAGCAGCAGTGAGCGTGTGCAGACGGGTGGCTGTCACTCATTGAATTGACTTAATAAGAGACAGCATTGGGAGAGAGATGCGTGTATAGAGGAAAAGAGGACAGAGGGGAAGAACAAGAGAATAAAGACAGGCAAGAGAGGACAGGGAGACATGCATAGAAAAGTCAAGGGGAGAGAGTTAACCACACTATTTGACAGTCTTCTCTCTCTTTCTTTATTGCAGGCTTTTCCCTCTGAGGGAGCAAGGGCTCAACTTCTATGCTCAAGAACTCACTCAGGAGGAGATCAAGGTAAAGACAGTAACAGGACCACTTAACCACATACACATTTAGACTGCAACTTGACCATGTGGTTTGACTGATCTGAAAATGTCAGTACATCATGTTGTACAGGAATGTGGAATTTTGTGGGATCTACTCATAATTCCGGCTGATCTTTGCTGTGTCCCATAGGAATTCCAAAGCACTCGGGAGGCCAAGCGGCGATTTCTGCTGGCGTACACACTCATGCTGGATTTTTACGGGATCAAACTCCTGGATAAGAGTGGGAATGTCGCCCGAGCTTCCAACTGGCAAGAACGCTTTCAGCACCTCAATGAGTGAGTGGTACACACAGGTGTACGTTCACACACACACACACACACACACACTTTCTCTCTGGGTCTATAGCGGAGTTGGTTTGGTGATGAGTAACCTATCTCTCCCTCTCTCCCCAGGTCCCAGCACAACTATCTGCGGATCACGCGCATCCTCAAGTCTCTGGGTGAGCTGGGCTTTGAGGCCTTCAAGGCCCCCCTGGTGCGTCTGCTGCTGGATGAGGCTCTGTGTCGGGGTACCCTGCCTAACATGCTGCACAGCACCCTGGAGTATTATGTCTATACCATCCGTCTCCGCTCCCACCGCCGCAGCCTGCTCCGATACGCCCGCCAGCACTACCAGCCGGCCAACACCTTCCTCTGGGGGCCCTCGGCCAGAAGGAGAGGAGCTGAGGCAGGGCCAGGAGGCAGGGTGGCAGAACCCACCCCAGAGAGGGAGAGGAGAGGAGGAGACCCCCATAGGGCTTGTAGTCCACTTACGAAGAAGGACTCAGTGGGAGGGTGGGGTGGAGGAGGAGATGGGAAGGGAACCAAGGGCTGTACCGTCTCCACCAAAACCCTCCAGGAGGGGGTGATGGAGAGGGGTAGGGGGGACAGGGGCAAGTACATTGAGACAGTTCCACTCTAGGACTGTAGGGAGAATAGTTTTGGGAAGAAGTGGTGTATGTGTGTCTTGATGGATTGAGGGGTGGGTGGGGGGGTCATTGTAGCAATACTGGCCCATGCCATGTTTTTATGGACTCAAAAGTCGTAGCTAAGTTGTAGTAGCTAAGTTTAGTATGCAGCACAATCCTTAACGTTAAACTACTCTTGCAATGTTTTCTCTCTGTCACAATGTCTTTCTTCCTTTTGTGTAGATTGACTGCACTTGGCAATCCACTAATTGTACAGAACCTTCTAGCCAAGCAGATCACATGTAGGGCTTAGTATACAACAAGCAGCCTGATTGGTTGGAAGTATGAAACAAACAATCTGATAGGATATGAACAACTGCTTGACAGGGTGGCTGCTGTGTGGAATCTTGCACCTTTGACAATCTGTCTTCCTATATGAGATATCTCTGTTACTTCCTGGTTACTTCCTGAGCGAATCTTTCTATTGGCTGCTGAGCCTGGCGATGAGGGTGAAACTTTGGCTGTCGGATACCATCTTCCTACACAAAGCATTCTGTAGCTTTCAGAGCAGCCAAGCTAGTCAGACGCACAGACTCATATGAGCTTTTCAGGTATACTATAATGTGATTGATAATATGGGCTCAAGTATTAATACTGTAGCTATTAGTGTGTGTTGAGACTATAGTGTGTGTGTGCTAGGCAGTGTGTGTACTACTATCTGAAGTGCCTCTTTTTCTATTCATCTTATACTGGTTGATTGTGTGCCGTTAGGGATGTGTGTGTACTTACCAATGTTTAAGTTAAAGGGTGTTTTCATGTATGAATTTGGTTACCTGATGGGTGTTAGTGAAAAGTTACGATTTGCTTTCACAAGAACAGAACGTGACCATTTCAGTGTACCGGTATGCTTACAACACGCAAATAACTTGACGGCAGCTTGACATAGCTCGTTTTTGAATGGCACACATTTCCTGAATCCTGGACCATTCTATTGAGGATGTGCAAGAATTTAATTTGATCCGACTCCAGGATGGTGATATGCCAGTTTTTTTTTTATTGGGAAAATAAAATGCATAACTGTTGAGTGTATGTATATACAAATAAGCATTTATAGTAAAGCCAATACACACCATTTTAGTCATACAGACGCATTTACTCACTCTTTCCCTCACCCTTAGACCCATACACAATAGGGTATCTCGTCTTTGTATACAGTGCATATCTGTTTTATATGATTTCTCTCTCTCACTCTCTCTTTCTCTTCCTGCCTTTCATCTACAACTTCTTCCGCAAGAATTAAAGGAGGCTGAGTGGATGGCTTGAATCCAACTCCCTTTTTCTTTCTTGTTCTCTCATTCTGTCTCCTTATTTCTAGCCATACAATTGGTTGGCATTGGCGTATTGAAATAATGTGCCAATGAAGACCAGTTAAAATGCCTAATTTCCCCCCCGATCTTTCAGAGGTAATTATGATAAAGAAAAATCTCCTCCCTCTCTGTTTCTCTACAGACCCTCGTTGTTTAACTGCCTCTATTGTCATCTGGGCTAAGATGACACAGTTTGGGAGGGGATGGGAGGATTGGCACAAGGAACAGGAATGAGGAGAGGGACTAACTGTAAATCCAGTCTATGGAAACTCCTCATTTTGTACTTCCATATACACAGTATAGTGTTCCGTTTCAGGTATAGATGCATCTCTCTCTCTGTCTGCGGTCATCCTTGTGACTGACTTGTCTCTGGATGTGTAAAGGTTCCCTTCATATGTGTGTTTTGTAAATTGTATCAATTCTTATGATTTGTATAAGAAAGTGTATGGAGACTCATTTTTTGCTGTATTAAAATATGGCAAGTCAAAAGGAAAAGACAATGTGTACTTTCTTGTGCGTATGTATTTGTGTGTTGTGTGTGTGTGTAAGAGAGAGAGTATATGGGAGTAGAGAGCGCTGGTGGCAAGACACTACAGACAAACCCAACCAGGTACATTTCTCATTGTTCGACATATACCAATGGCAAATTCTATTGTCACCATTAGATGGAGAGAATATGTCTGTTCTAGCCATTCTATGAGCCTGACCTACTATGACCCTGACTGCCTCACGGCAGTTTACAAGACCACAGAAGGCGAGTGTATAGCCAGTAGCACACAGATGAGTCCAAAGAGTGCCATGGATATCCAGTTATGGCAATTTCGGTTAACGGCAGAGATTTGAAAACTTAAACACTGAAGTAACACACACAGGTTGGTGTTAATTGAAGTGTGTGTGGTGAGAAGAAGAATGTGTGAGTGATTTGGCAGTCTGATGTGTGAAGCAATCTTTCTCTCTCTCACACACACGCAAACACACACACACACACACACATACACACACATACACACACACACACACACTCACGTCATGTCATCAACAGCTAATCATGCCTTCTAAGAGAATGTATGTATTGATTTTTTCCCACCATGTTGATAGTTGTTGAGTTAGGGCTTATTGTGTAAGGTAAAGCCTTGCTGTCTTAGTAGATTTTGGATATTGTCTCTTCATCTTGTAACACACACCCGGACACACATACACACAGTCAGACTGCAAACCACTCATCCTAAAACCACATGTTTTGTGTCTGTACCAGTATCACAGCTTGTGTATGTGTGTACTGTATGTGTTACAATATGTCTGAGATAATGGCACAGATGTGTGTGTTGCGTGTGTTGTATTGTATTTATTATGGATCCCGATTAGCTGCTGCCAAGGCAGCAGCTACTCTTCCTGGGGTCCAGCAAAATTAAGGCAGTTACACAATTTTTAAAACATTACAATACATTTCACAACACATTAAGTGTGTGCCCTCAGGCCACTACTCTACTACCACATATCTACAACACAAAATCCATGTGTACATGTGTGTATAGTGCATATGTTATCATGTGTTTGTGTATGCATGTGTCTGTGCCTGTGTGTGTGTGTCTCTTCACAGTCCCCGCTGTTCCATAAGGTGTATTTTTATGTTTGTTTTTTTAATCTAATTTTACTGCTTGCATGAGTTACTTGATGTGGAACAGAGTTCCATGTAGTCATGGCTCTATGTAGGACTGTGTGCCTCCCATAGTCTGTTCTGGACTTTGGGACTGTAAAGAAACCTCTGGTGGCATGTCTTGTGGGGTATGCATGGGTGTCCAAGCTGTGTGCTAGTAGTGTAAACAGACAGCTTGGTGCATTCAACATGTCAATACCTCTCACAAATACAAGTAGTGATGAAGTCAATCTCTCCTCTACTTTGAGCCAGGAGAGATTGACATGCATATTATTAATGTTAGCTCTCCATGTACATTTAAGAGCCAGCCGTGCTGCCCTGTTCTGGGCCAATCGTCATTTTCCTAAGTCCCTCTTTGTGGCACTTGACCACACGACTGGACAGTAGTCCAGGTGAGACAAAACTAGAGCCTGTAGGACCTGCCTTGTTGATAGTGTTGTTAAGAAGGCAGAGCAGCGCTTTATTATGGACAGACCTCTCCCCATCTTAGCTACTGTTGCATCAATATGTTTTGACCATGACAGTTTACAAACCAGGGTTACTCCAAGCAGTTCAGTCTCCTCAACTTGCTCAATTTCAAAAATCTTCATTACAAGATTTAGTTGAGGTTTAGGGTTTAGTAAATTATTTGTCCCAAATACAAGGCTTTTAGTTTTTTTTTATATTTAGGACTAAATTACAGTGGGGAAAAAAGTATTTAGTCAGCCACCAATTGTGCAAGTTCTCCCACTTAAAAAGATGAGAGAGGCCTGTAATTTTTATCATAGGTACACGTCAACTATGATTTATTTGCAAATTATGGTGGAAAATAAGTATTTGGTCACCTACAAACAAGCAAGATTTCTGGCTCTCACAGACCTGTAACTTCTTCTTTAAGAGGCTCCTCTGTCCTCCACTCGTTACCTGTATTAATGGCACCTGTTTGAACTTGTTATCAGTATAAAAGACACCTGTCCACAACCTCAAACAGTCACACTCCAAACTCCACTATGGCCAAGACCAAAGATCTGTCAAAGGACACCAGAAACAAAGTAGACCTGCACCAGGCTGGGAAGACTGAATCTGAAATAGGTAAGCAGCTTGGTTTGAATAAATCAACTGTGGGAGCAATTATTTGGAAATGGAAGACATACAAGACCACTGATAATCTCCCTCGATCTGGGGCTCCACGCAAGATCTCACCCCGTGGGGTCAAAATGATCACAAGAACGGTGAGCAAAAATCCCAGAACCACACGGGGGGACCTAGTGAATGACCTGCAGAGAGCTGGGACCAAAGTAACAAAGCCTACCATCAGTAGCACACTACGCCGCCAGGGACTCAAATCCTGCAGTGCCAGACGTGTCCCCCTGCTTAAGCCAGTACATGTCCAGGCCCGTCTGAAGTTTGCTAGAGTGCATTTGGATGATCCAGAAGAGGATTGGGAGAATGTCATATGGTCAGATGAAACCAAAATATAACTTTTTGGTAAAAACTCAACTCCTCCTGTTTGGAGGACAAAGAATGCTGAGTTGCATCCAAAGAACAGCATACCTACTGTGAAGCATGGGGGTGGAAACATCATGCTTTGGGGCTGTTTTTCTGCAAAGGGACCAGGACGACTGATCCGTGTTAAGGAAAGAATGAATGGGGCCATGTATGGTGAGATTTTGAGTGAAAACCTCCTTCCATCAGCAAGGGCATTGAAGATGAAACGTGGCTGGGTCTTTCAGCATGACAATGATCCCAAACACACCGCCCGGGCAACGAAGGAGTGGCTTCGTAAGAAGCATTTCAAGGTCCTGGAGTGGCCTAGCCAGTCTCCACATCTCAATCCCATAGAAAATCTTTGGAGGGAGTTGAAAGTCTATGTTGCCCAGCGACAGCCCCAAAACATCACTGCTCTAGAGGAGATCTGCATGGAGGAATGGGCCAAAATACCAGCAACAGTGTGTGAAAACCTTGTGAAGACTTACAGAAAACGTTTGACCTGTGTCATTGCCAACAAAGG